GCAGGCACCATCGTATATAGCACCAAAGAAAGTCTATCAAACTGCCAGGTCCATGGTTCCACATATGAATTTGAGAAGACGCAATCTTATGTGGAAAATACCAGTGGATTTGGGATTTAGATACTTGATTAGGCTCCATTTCTCAGAGCTTGAGTTGGGGATAACGCAGTGCGGTGAGAGGGAGTTCAGGATTATCATAAATAATCAAGTCGCTGAAGATAGTGCTGATGTCATCAAATGGGGTGCTGAACATGGAGTTGCAGTGTACAGGGACTATGTTGTGCTGATGGAGGGAGATAGGATGGAAGGTAAGCGTTATCTAAACATCACCTTCCAGCCAAAATTGGTGTTAAGCGGTAAAGAAACAGATGGGATCCTCAATGGGATGGAAATATTCAAGTTGAGCAACCCTGATAACAATCTAGCAAGCATGAGGACCATCGAATTTGTACGGAGTTCCAGATCTCAGAAACAAGGGGACAAAAAGACACAGTCTTTTGGCCGTAAGAATGCAGTTGCAACGGCGCTGACTGTTATAATCACTTTGTTGAATGTCAGTGTGTATTATATCAGGCGTCTTTCAGAAACTAGTGCCAGGAACTTGCGTTCGTCATCCTCAGAAAAATTTTGCCGCCTATTTTCAATTCATGAGATCCGATCAGCAACCAACGATTTCAGTCATGAATTCCTCATTGGCAGTGGTGGATATGGTAGAGTGTATAAAGGAAGCATTGATGGAGGAGCTACAACCGTTGCAATTAAGCGATTGAAATCAGAGTCTAGGCAAGGCGAAAACGAGTTTTGGACAGAGATAAAGATGCTATCCAGGCTCCGCCATGAGCATCTTGTCCCTCTGATTGGTTACTGCAATGAAGGTCAAGAGATGATACTGGTATACGAGTATATGCCAAAAGGAACAGTTGCTGATCATCTTTACAAGATTGGTAGGCATGGTGGTTGTGCTCCTCCTCTCTCTTGGGAACAGCGGCTTAAGATCTGTATCGGTGCGGCACGTGGTTTGTACTTTCTTCACACCTCTCGACAGAGGGTAATCCACCGGGATGTGAAGAGCTCGAACATTCTGCTGGACGAGAATTGGGTGGCTAAGATTTCAGACTTCGGCCTGTCAAAGATGGGAGCACCTAACGAGTCAATTACACATATCAGTACCAATGTCAAAGGGACATTTGGGTATTTAGATCCAGAGTATTTCTTGACTCGCAAATTGACACGAAAATCTGACGTGTATGCTTTTGGAGTGGTGCTGTTTGAAGTGCTGTCTGGAAGGCCAGCTGTGGACTTACGACTTGAAGAGGAGAAACACAGCTTAGCTGCGTGGGCACGATACTGCATGAGAAAGGGAAAAGTCGATAACCTCATCGACCGTAATCTGATAGGACAAATCTCCCCAGCTTGCTTAAAGGTGTTTGTTGGAATAGCAGGGAGGTGCGTGGATACGCATCCACATGAACGGCCTGCTATGGCTGATGTTGTCATACCCCTTGAGTTAGCATTGGTGCTGCAACAGAGCCCAGGTTCCACAGAACAGGCAGAAGAAGACGATGATATCAACAACGTTGCAAGAAGTTCCAGTGAACAAAGTGATGGTGTTTTCTCATTTGATGAATTATCTGTTAACCCCTCCAATGGAGGAATGGAGCAGAATGTCTCCAAAGAGCTTTCAGGTGCTGCTCCTGGAACAAAAGAAACTTATGTTCTCAAGAATTCAAAGAAGGATAACAGTTCCAACAATGCAACATCATCAAGATGGTGGTGGGATCCATTTGGGCTTGTGCCAAGAAGTCCATCAAAAACGAAAGCTTCAGCACTACATGAAGGGCTCCGCCAATTCCACATCCAAGAGATACGAAAAGCCACCAATAATTTCCAGAACAGTTTCATCGTTGGCTTTGGAGGCTTGGACAGTGTGTACAAGGGCCTTGTGGATGATATCCCAAGAATTGTGGCGGTCAGACGATCAAGCAGTAGAGAATCAAGACTTTCGATGGCACGTGAATTGCAATCAAAGATGGAAATGGTCCCTTCACTAAAACATGCTCATGTCGTAACTCTGATCGGTTATTGCAATGATGAAGCTGAACTGATGCTTGTGTATGAGTACATGGCCAATGGAAGCCTCCATGATCATTTATGTGACCCTAACAAGGATCCACTCCCATGGAAGCGGAGACTTCAAATCTGCATTGGCGTAGCACGAGGATTGTCCCATCTCCAGTCCACTGTTAAACTAACGAATCTCCACTGCAACTTGAAGTCAACCAACATTTTGTTAGACGAGAACTGGGTGGCCAAGGTTTCAGACATTGGGTTATCCCGAAGAAGAGGAGTCAGTGGTGCGCATACAATTGTTAGAGGTGACTGGGGTTCTCTGGACTCAGACTATATACTGGATGACAGATTAACAGAAAAATCTTACGTATTCTCATTTGGCTTGCTACTGTTTGAGGTACTCTGTGCCACTAAAGAATCAACTCATTGGTTGGATGAGGATCAGGTAAGTCTGGCTCAGTGGATAAAATCAGGCATAAGAAACAACCTCTCTGGCAACATTGACCCATGCCTAGCTGGTAAAATTGCACCTGAATGCTGTAGGATATTTGCAGAAACAGCCATTAAATGTCTGCTTGATAAGGGTTCTGAACGACCATCAATGAATGACATAGTGGCAAGTCTTGAGGCTGCGCTTAAGCTGCAAGAAGCGTCAGACAATGACGAGGGTGTTTAAGTGCAAAGTAGCTGACATGATAATGCAGTTCAGTTTTGTATGATGTTTACCAATATTGTTCACTTCATTCTGTAATTATGTGTGCTATTTAATGCTAATTAAGCTTGTTGTACGGAAATTATACGATAGATGGGATGGTTACAAACCTTTGGGCAGCTTATTTTGAAGCACCAAGTTTAACTGGCTAACATGCCTGGTTAGAACTTGGTAGAAGATAGTTTAAAATAAAAAGGCCAAGAATAGAAAAACTGCAAGAGTTTTCTCCTTCCTATTTATACTGAAGATTGTGCGGAGAGATTCTATTCTATTGGATCGAGGAATTTGATGAAAGATTTGAATTCAAATCGCTTTAATTATTTGGATTGCTTAATAGACATTTGAGTTTATAATACACCAACTATTAAAATATATTTTAAATACTAGAATAATTGATAATTTATAAATCCAAATACCTCCTAAATAACGTAAAGAACTAGAGAATTTTGAGAGAATTTTTTAAATTCTTCGTTAGATCCCCCAATCGAAACGCAGCCTTGTGCTAGTTGAATTATTTGCATTACACGTAGTGATCTGGGAGATGCAAACTTGCGGAGTCCATACTTTCAGTGCACAAAACCGGGACGGTATTCAGAATTACAATTCACCTAAAGACTGGAAATACTCCCAATGAAATAGCCTTCTCGGCTTGATTTGTTCAAACGTACGTCTTCGAGCTATCCCGCACGCTTGCAGCGATTGTAGGCTGTACATGGTCTATTATTCATATTAACTGGCACGAACCAATTAGCATACTGAGCTGCATTGCAAACTGCCGGCCGCTGAAGAGCGCCGTAGGAAATTGCCTGTCCTTGTTGGAGTAGCAACCTGCCACCTGCAGAATAGTGCCTGAGAGACTCCCAATCCTCCTCATTTCCCCGGCTGCCGAAGAAGCAGTCTGCAAAAGCGCCATTGCACGACACCCGTGCATTGTTAAGCATATAAAAAGAAGCTGAAGCTCCTCCCAAGTCTTCTCCGAGGCTGAGCAACAAAACGAGGACAATAAAACTGCTGTATCTCTTTAATCCCATTTCAGCAGTGTCTGTACACTAGTGTTTTCTTCATTCTCTTGTGAAGCTTCGATCTCGTGGTGATATAGGATTAGACCTGTAAAAGGGGTCCAGGAAGGTCGCTGACTACCACAGTGAGTAATACCATTGAGCCACTTGATTGCGGACAAATAATACGGCAACTATGCAGGCATTCTTATTTGTTGTTTTGTCCCTATGCTGTTACACTTAAACTGGCTAAGAATCCTTTCCTTATTAGTATATTTTGTTTAGGAGAATTAAGAAAGCTTATAGTGTCCGCTAGCGAACCCTTTTCTTATGATTCTACATTCTGCATGATTGATGTCGGCAGATGATTTACTTGATTCCAAATTTACCGAATTTGTCTGTAAGCAAGCTTAAATAGTAGTAGTACTTGGCTGTCGGCACATCTGTTTTCTCCAAGATTTTTTTACGCAACCATGGAAATTGGTTGCCATCATCAAGATCATTTCATCAATATTGATCTCACATTAGAGGTTGTATGGCACAGTACATGAGCAACAGTTCATGAACAACTGCTTCTTTTAAATTCCGTATCAATCAGGAGTACTATCTTCTTCTCAAAGTCGTGGAGATACAGGTGAGCCACAAGATACAAGGGATCAGTGAACATCTTAACTACTAACACCACTAGTGCTATTAAAATGTAATGTTATGCTACTAATCGCTTGCTGACTACAAGCACAAGAAATAACAACTATTAGAACAAGTCATTCCCTTGTCCTTGTGCTTTTACATTTCATGTTAAGAATGCTCCTGCTCAGTCTTGTGACCTTGTGCATCATCACTAGTGCTGTTCTAGTAATTATAGGCAATTCATTGCAGGAAAAAGTAATTTACAGGGAACACAGGGGTATTCAATTTTCAAATTTAGTGGCTTTATTGATCGGTTTATCTGGAAGACAAATTGGAAACAGCATTTGAACTTGTCACGCACTTTCACAGAGTAAAGATCAGCCACAAATCACTACACTTAGCTGTCCTTCAGTACTCTGCCACACTGAATTTCCAGTATGGCAGAAAAGAACAGCTTTCTGTAGCCAAGTTTGTCAAATTCTTGTTTGTGTAACTCCATGTATTCTTTTCTGCAAAAAAAAAAAAAAAAAAATCTGCTACCGAAGGGGCCCATGGGACCGAAGCACATAGTACCAATCAAACAGGACATCCTGGAGGAGGTCTAACCCAATCCATATATGCAAGATCAGATTGGAATGCAAACAACACTATAATTTCACGTCTTTAAACAGTTTTCCAACATCACATGACGGAATAGACAAACTCTCACTTAAGAAAAGAGGAAAATATTCAATCATATAAGCACAAGACATGGAAAATGCGAAGGCTCATCTAAATCACCAAAGCTGCCAATGCCAAGGAAATAATCCAGAAGTCTTTTTTTATTTTGGGTAGAAGTAATCACAAGTCATTACTCAATATCAAAAGGTGCTGCGTAACTTTAAGTTGCCCTCAAAATCCATGGTAAACCTCAACTGAAGATTAAACCCCCATCCTCATCATCATCATTATCATGATCCTCATCCCGGCTAAACTCCGAATATTCCTCAAGTGATGAAGCATTGAAGAGTTCACCAGCTTTGCTATCATTGTTAGTTGGCATTTTTACTGAACTATGGGGTTTCCCTTTATTCATCTGTTTCGCATTGAATCACAATAACCACAACAAATTAGCACAGCAGTTACATCAATGTCCTGAAACTAAAAACAATTAGCATTATGCAGCAGACTTGCAAATTAATGGACAATCTGAATCAACTAATTCAATGACAAGTCGGACTGCATGGAATCCAGATTTTGTGCATTATCTTACCGTCCGTAGGAGAGTACTCCTCTCTCTCTCCCTAGCATTCTTGATCGCCTATCACCAAATAAAAAGATAATTAGCTTCTAAAGGAACAAAAATCCCAAGTCCAAACCTCCAGCATTACGGAGGGAAAAATTCTCTGCTCAGTAAACAAACCTCCTCTAGTGTCTTCTGCTCAGTCTCCTTTTCTGAAAGGTCTCTGCAATGTACAGAAAATCATAAGTTCCTGAAAAAGCCTGTAATTGCTTTCCTCAAACACATAGTCACATAAGCTTATACACAATCCTTTGGGTGTAACATCTAACATGTATCTTTTTACCTCCCAACTATATGCCCAACCCGACATGAGCACTTTGCGCATACTTTGTTCTCCTTAGCACAAGCTGGTAATATTACAAAGCATTTCAGCCAAGCAATTAAGAATCAAATATTACTCAACGCACTACGACAAACATTTAAACGAATCAGTAGAAATGCGAACAAAGAATTTTGAACCAAACAGAAAGGTTTAACTAACCAGTACAGAGATTATGGTAAGCTTGTCGAACAGCCCGCTTGGAACATTTCTGACTGAATCCCAAAGAATAAGACTATAAGTAAATGAATCCCGTAGCCAAAATTGAGTTGCGCATCAATAATTCAATACCAATCTTTTAGTACTACATAAATTTAAAGAAAAGAGAAAAGAGACCAGGTAAGTAAGTACCATTTAGCGGGCTCAATGAGGGGTTTGTATTTGCCGTACTTGCGCTTCCATTCAATCTGTTCTTTACATCTCTGGCATACTCCGGTTACCTCTGAATATGGCCGGAACTTCCCTCCTAATTCCTGCCATCATTAATCATAGCAATACTATTACTTTTTTTCTTTTCCCAAACGAAAATAAAGAGGGGAAAACTTGTAAAGAAGGCGGTGAAGATTACGGTTTCGTTGATTTTAACACCAGCCTTGGGCTTCCAGGCAAATTGATTTGGGTGCTTTGGGGGACCTTTCCTGCTGCTCATGTTTTGTCTCACCTCTCTCGCCGCCGACCAAAGTTTCTTGGTTCCCCGGTCAAAAACCTATTGAGCGGTTGTGATTCAGTAATTTTGTTTAACTACAATAAACCCCCTGTCATAACAACCTGATTTCACTTTGCCCCCTAACTTTACTTTATTGCAATCTATCCATCTTTAAGACAAGAATACCCCTTCCAACATTTGATGGCAAGTGCGATTTTTTTATTTTTATTTTTTTATTTTTTTGTGCTAGCAATGATGACAGTTTTTATAACTTATTCTAACTTAATCTAAGGGGAAAGGGAAGCCACAAATAGTGACTAATAGGAGGATTTATACAAACCTATTCTAACATAATCTAAGAGGAGGGCGGGGGAGGGGGAAGGCACAAATACCTCCACCAATAGACATGATCGAACCATTAATCTCCCACCTTCATCAAAATTTAAAGACGTCTCGGTGACCAACAGCCTAAGAGACTGTTGGATGGCAAGTGTGAATTGGACCTTTTAATTTGCAATTCAAGTCTTAAACCTTTATAAAAATGCATATTTTTCTTGTCTCTTTATATATATATATAAAAGTGAAAAATCTCAAACTCCAAACCTCTCTATTACCCTCTCACCCCATTTCCCCATTTCCGTACCACCCAACTCAAGGTACCATTGCACGATGCATCTGCATTCTTTATGGAGGAAGAAACCGAATTTCCCGCCACGTCTCCCTTAAGGAAGAGGAACAAAATGAGGAAAAGAAGACTAGTATTCGCCTTGAAGCTGAAGCTCATGATTTCCCAAAAAAGAAAAAGAAACTTTTTTGAGCGATACAAAACAATACTAATAATTTCAGGTTGTTCGAAAGCTAATACGGATAATGCGCGTCCTCTATGCTTCCATGACGCCTATGCATTGATGCGTCTGTAACTAATAGCTCCAGATTTAGCATTACATTCGAGAAATTCAAATCTTCTTTACGTCATAAACTGGGGATCTTTGTCTGCATCTTAAGAATGGCTTTGAAGTGTCACTGCTGTTACACTGAAAGTTGTTCAGAGAAGCGCACGATAAACCTTGTCTAGTGTCTTTGCATCCCCAGTGGTACTACCGCAGACCCAAACGGTAAATGGGCAACACCGATACCCAATAATCAGGTGCTTGAGCGAACCAAAACTGCTTGCTTAACGACTGGACTTCTCTCTGGCGATTGATTGCTCAGGGGATAGTATTTAGGTTGACAGCTTAGAAGCAACTGACAACTGACAATCAACCCCGACCCAAGATATCATGAAACAAAATTCTTTCATTTAAGCTAGTGATTTTTATAAGTACATCCAGTACAGGAGTATACAAATTCATCAAAATAATTATATGATCACATCGTCAAAGTTATTTGAAAAAATTGGCAACCGTGCACTTTCAGTTTTAAGGTTGCCAGGTCTGTTGCAGGTAATACACGCTTCCACCTTCCCTTGCATTGTCCCTTCCCAGAGTAAGCATTCCTCCAATTTTGTATCTAAATCTCATCAAATTTAACAAAGATCTATAATCTACTAGGAAAAACGCAACTGTTATCGAATCCTGCTTGATAAAGTCATTCTTCTTTTGCACACAACCTCTCTGTCAAAGAAAACACAATGACTAATCAACAGATTGACCACGAGAAAAATGACTCTAAATCTGATTGCTGTGTCTGATAAGAAAATATTAATAAGAAGGAACGTGTGAACTAAATACTCTATACAAAAGTGGCCCGACAAATATATTACTCCTTAAACTGCAATCAACATGAAAAATAGCAAGAATGCAACAATATAGTAGGGAATGACAGCATAAACGCATGACAAGGAAATCCTGTGCCAAGATCATTAGAGGACATTATTCAAGCAGACTAAGAACCAAGGCAGTTGTGTAAAAAGGCAAAGACCGTACAGTTTAAGGCACTAAATTATAGTAGTTTCTCGCAACACAAACTAAAGCTAACAAGAAAACATTGTGTTGTGGCCTTAGAATCAATCTTCATCTCTTTCATTTTTACTTTTTATGGTTTCATGAAAAATCAATAAGCACATAATTTCTAAAACAAGATGGAAAATGATGCTAAAAAAGCGGGATTTTGATGACATAATATGACTGGAAAACTCAAAGAGTCATACTCAAATATTCGTAGGCTAGTATCATTGAAGTTCCCCATGCTGACATGCTGAAAAACCTTGGACCGAGTCCTCTATAAAATCCTGTCCATCCATCTTCTGAGATCAATGTTTTGACTACTTGCCTGGTTGTGGGTCTCTTCTCATGCCCCATAACCTGTAGAACATGAAAGACTAGTTGCATAAAATCATCAACATCAAGAGCCTCATAGCAGAACATAGAACATCTAATTCAAAATCCAACATGTATTACTTTAAAGACAGTTAAATCATTCTAACTTCAAAAGAAAGAAGTTTGGGACTTCAAGCTACAGTCTTCACCATCTAAGGGCACCCGTTCTACTCCTGTTGCTATTAATATCACTTCTTTTGGGAAGCTGTGAACAAAATTTGCAGAAACTAGTTCCAAAGTCTAGGGCCAAGTCACTCACTTCAAAGATTTGAGTTGTTTGCAGCAAGATACTTGGAAAAGTCATGACTATAACATGAAAAGAACTAGGTGAAGGACAATGTAAAAACAAGATTACCGCCACCAGATAAAACAAGATAGTCTAAGCATGCTGACGCAGCCATCTATGTGGGCAATGAATGGTAAATTGTGTTCTTGTAATCTAGATCAGAATTTACAATTACTAGAACATATGCATGCCTGTAATCGAGTCTTGATAGTGTCCAATGGCGTTGTGATGCATGATGCAGTAGCACCAGCAAAGATCCCTCCAGCAGCTTGGACCATCACTATAGTCCCCTGACTAGGAGCTTGTCCCACATGCTCGCTGCCTTGACCTAGAAGCCTGCCAGAAACATCAGAATGATGCCATGCCAATCAAGATATAGAAAAGTTCAATTAGTATTCCCTCCATCCCATTGTCATGTTTTTCTATTTGGTCTGTCCCAAAATTTGTGTCAATTTCTAAATTTGGCAAAAAGTGTTTTATGCACTTTACAAGTCTACCCCTTCATTTACTTACTTGGGCGGCCCACCATTTTGTCATCAGCAAAAAGCCAGTCAAACGCATGGAAAGGTAAATATGTCATACAAACTAATAAATGCACAAGAGTGTGCAACACACTCGAGCTATGTCATGGGTTTTGGTCAACTAAAACTATTCTTTGGCCCCACAATCTACTATTTAGCCATTTGAGTAAGAATCTGAATTAGTATGTTCCAGCCCCACCACTCTTGCCAACTTGCTTTACTAAGGGTAATCATGTCAAACGAACCCAAACTTTTCACCAACTCACACTGCTGAAAAAAAAAGTACACTTCCCAAAATGTGACAAAAAATTTGGGACAGAGGGAGTATTTAATTTAGGCAGCATTTAAGCGTGCACTTTATGGATAGGATGCAAATGTTTACTTCTAATGTACAGCATCACAACCATGTCCAGAATCACAAGATATAGTTAGTAAGTCACTGATGCAATTGCAAATTATATAGTTGTTAACACGCATGCAGTTGGACTGGCAGAAGCAGAAACGTAAAATATTACAAATATTCAATAGTTAATTTTCCTTTCAACATGAGAGTCCATTTATAATCCTGTCCCGCATCTATTAGCAAGAAAACTGAAATAGCAAATCTCACCTCCAGATAAACCGTTGGCTTGAACCATAGCTTGCCCACCAAACAGCACTAGATGGGGAATAAGTCATAATAGATAGACCAAATCCTCTGTACAATCCACGAATCCCATCTGTTTTGAGAACTTGACGCACAACATCCAGGCCACCATTATAGCTTGCATGGCCTGAATATCCTTGCACCATCAGCTTTTGGCTAACCTTTTCAAAATCAGTTTCAAGCACTTAAACTCCCAAATTGACCACACAGCTTGGAACATTTATGCTGGAGAGAAAATTTATTGGAGAATACGTTTGTTGAAATTGGTTGAGCATGTAAGTTCTACTTGACAATAGAATAAACCAAACATGGAAAGTACGAATACTCCAGGAGGAAAACAAAAGACATGGAAAAATTAGATTTTGAATGGTAATTGTATACTCAAAAAGCAATCACCGAAAAAATGATTTTGTTAGCAAGACTATGAGATATCAAACCAAATTATAATATGGTAAATTTCCTCCCAGCCCCAAAATCTTACTCCCTTAGAATATTTGAAGATAGAGAGATGGCAACCGCATACCACATCAATTGGGACAAATACAGCTTGTGAACAGAGAGATGCAGACATTCCAGCAATTCCATTCGCAATAGCAGCCTGTGTAGGCTCTGAGAATTTGAATGGTTCAACCATTTTGTAAGCAGCCACCTTCGTTGTCTCTAATGCAGTGAGGAATATAATCCTAGCAGGAATTGCTCCAGTGATGACCGTACCAAAACCTCTGTACAATCCAGGAATCCCATCTGTTCTTAATATTCCTTTTATGACAGAAAATGCATCCTTCTCTACAGCTTCTTTTGTAGCAACCTGCAGCCTAGTCTTCACAACTGATATAGGATATAGTCCAACCGTAAGACCCGTAAATATTCCAGCTCCAACAACATAGAATTTGCTTTTGTCAAGCCTACAAGAAAGATTCAAAGAAACATAACACCACTGATTCTAGTATTTCTTTAACAGCGTCTATCAAGGTAATGCACGGCAAAGGAAATAAGTGATAATATTACTCAAAACAAATGTCAACTGTTAACAGATTCATTCAACTAATTATACAACCTACTCACCATTGTCCCTTCGTATAATTGCCTACAGAAAGCCAATAACCTGGCCATGCCCTAGAAATAGTCTCATATTTTTATGGGTAGGTATAGTCAGTTTCAGCTTCTACAATAAAACCAGGCAATAAGAAGTAATAAATACCCCACATTAAACCATCATAATAAGGAAAAAAATCCATCTACAATCGTCTCGCATTTGTGTAATCAAAACATAATTCAGCTTTAACAACAAATTGAGACACAAATTTAATACACTTTAAGACATTAATGCTCCAAATCGTAAGTCGTGATTGG